AGTGTACGGAATTTTCGCGTACAGGTTGTATATAGGTACGTTCGTGAAAGTACTTTTATCGTACGCGTGTCGGTCGTGCCCAGTTCGTCGGTCGGCCACCGGCACCTATAATCTTACCGCGCTCAATGTCGTATTACGCACGCTGTATAACGCGTACATTACGGCACATACGTATCTGTACAGAGTGATTGGAATTCTGCGTTGCAGCGAATCTTTCGCGTTTACAGACGAGCAGATTACCGGAAATCGTATTACAGGGGATATGTTTTAAGGAGTAGTTAAAGCGATCTAAAACTGTTATTTACCGCGCTTTCACGTGTACATTATGATATTTTACGCGAGATTCCTCGATCACCCTGTATGGTTAACGCATTTTATTTTGCATCTCACTCGCGCACGCCTTTAATGGGCCGCCCGACGGCCACGGAAAGAAAATGTTCGCTTCGTGAACACCTAAATAAATCGCGTGCGGCAATACGTACCAGTAAAATCGCACCAATTTTTTCTACTCTCGTGATGAAAATAGATACTTATTCGAACAACTTAAAAATGTTTTTGATTTATCATAAAATTGATTACAGTTTCATTGGCTGCTTATGGAGAGGCCATCTCTTACGGGTAAATGCATTTATACACGTATAAGAATTTATTTGGATAAAACAAGTGTTTATTAAGTACAATTCGAACTTGAAGGTGCTAGAAGTCCGGTTTAGTCATTGATATTCATGCGATTTCTTGTGTGATAATATTCGGTTGTCACAGTCTCCTATTACAATACACTAATCAATATAAGTGTACACAGATGGCGAAACATAATAAATAATAATGTATAATATTTACATCGTTGCAATGCACTGCAAACTTATGACGATTATTGTCGACTGCATTTGTTGATACTACGTCAGTGCCAACTATTCCATAAACTAGTACAGCGTTTCCCAAAGTGTGTTCCGTGGGACAATTCTAAGGGTACCGCCAGATGTATGTGATTATTGAAAAATGTATTTTATATTATATTTGGAAAAAATATTATTTTATATTATTTAAAAAAATTGTGTTATAAACTAATTTTAATAATGAGTAATCATTAAAAATATTAACAATATCATTAACATATTTTTTAGAGTATTGGTTTTCCTTTTTTTTTTTTCAGAAAAATTAGAGTTGAATTGGAATTAAAGACATAAGGGTTCCGCGAAATACAAACTATTTTAAGGGTCCCGTGGTTGTAAAAGTTTGGAAACCGCTGGAATAGTATAATATCCGTATTATAATTAAATATGGATCTTAGTTTATATATCATTACAGCACAAATAGTGTTATGATATGAGTTTTCATGACTTAACTTAATAATCTTATTTAGTGTTGACTATACAATGAGAACGAACAAGATTAGCTGAAGGTATAAAAATTTAAAATGTATATTATAGTTTGTGTTTACGCAAACGTTATCGGATAAACTTAGCAGTGTGGTAATTACTCTCGCTATGCGTCTTCCAATACTGCCGAGCTGAAATTAAATCGCTACATCAACTTGTGGATGGTATGTCGAAGATGGATTCGAGAGGAAATAGAGACCGTCGTATGATAGCGATCGAACAGTGTTTGTGAAAATAAATGTTGTATTTTATTGCAGGACCGCGCTAACCAGGTATGCAAGGTGTTTAAAAAACAAGGGCCGTCGAAAATTTAACGCAGATTTATAAATCAAATCTCAAAAAAAAAACTATCATAATAATTACTTGTAAACATAATATAAAACATGTTTTGAACAATAACAAAAAATAATTTTAGTGATATTTTTGATGTTTAACAAAACTCTGGACAGTACTCAGATATGAAATTGGGAGGGGGAGCAGGCATTTTTTTTTTTAGCACAAGCGTTCAAATCGGTTAGAATGGGCCTGTTTTTGTGATAAAACATTTTAGCATTTGCGTGTTATTATAGGTTCATTAAAGTGTTAACGCACACCAACGTAATTTGATGGTTTGTTCTAGACCACGAAGCCGTAAAAGTACAATTGTCGATCAGACGATAATTATTATTGTGAAATATCCATGAATATTATTATACCATTATAAATTTGAAATATTTTCAAAAAGTTGCAAACACCGAAGTATTGATCCTTATTAATAATTTATATATATATATATATATATATATATATGTGTGAATCAAACCTTGTGCTTTATTATTAAGTATTAAACATATTTCAATATTTTTTAAAGAATATACATCTTTAAAAAAAAATTAAATATTGGTAGTAGGAGGAGCATGATCCCTGTGCCCCCTGAGCCACTACTTGCTGCTCATTGTATATTGCGTGCAGTATGCCAGATCGGGCGTAGCCTGTTTCGCCAAAAATGAAATTTTGAGTGAAACGACTATCTGGGCGAAACGGACAGGGCCATTTTTGGGCGAAACAGGTCCCGTCCACCGAAACCGATATTTGTTAAACAAAACATTTTGTTAATATATTATGTCCGTAGTGTTCGTGTTTTGTTTACTTTTTTTCTCGACAATACTTTGTGTGATCAAAATATTATATACTATTGTTCACCTGAATACAAAGTTTAACCCGTTACAATAAGACAGCAATAATGTTATGCTAAGTAAAAACAGCATAACATTAATTATATTCTTGGTCGAAATGTATATCAATTTCGTCTTAATTTTATTTCTGGTGATAATGTATATAAATAATAATAATAATAATAATAAGGGGCTTACTAATTGTGTATTGAGTTTAATGTATTATACGACAAGCGATATTTTGTAACTATCAAATTATTTTACAATGGCCTGGATAACATTTTTGATACTACCAAATATGTCATTTAAAGAACTAGGCATTTAGAACAATAATTCGGTGAAATTTTTACCAGTGGCATAATTGTGTAGACAACTGGAACAACTGCCGCTTGGCGTTTTACCCGAATGGCAAATCATAATTGTATTTGTACATCCAATCACAAACATTTTCAAGCTGTCCTAATAGTTTTCAAAATATTTTCAATAAATTGTGAACAATTGTCATTTTTAAGGGTAATGATTAGGCCTGACAAACTCATGTCTAGACTTTTTGTAGGTATAAAAAAAACTAAAATGATTATTATATCAATTACTCCTAGAAATATTTGTTTTTTTTCTTTCTTTCTGGACAGTTTGAAAAAATGCAATGATTCATGTTTTTCTTCGATTTCACATACAATTTTTGTACAGTTACATTTGTGGAAAGTTTGTCGTTATCACATAATGTGTGTCGATTGTATTTAGGTATAGCTGCGTAGTATGTAATAATATATACATTCGCAAACATGTAAATTAATTGATAATTACAATTTAGAATTCTTTTTTTTTTTTAACACATAACGTACACATAACATTTTATCTATAAAAATTAGTTCATCCGAATAAATTATGTAAAATTACGTATTTATTTACATATTATTATTTGCTGATTAAAAAACAAATAATAATTAAAGGTTTATCAACAAACAGTATGGTTAGGTATAGAAATTAGGTCGATTTTAATTACCTATAGTAATAATAATAATATATTACCTTACTAATAGGTAAAGTCAAAATATATTATTAGTTATAGCCTATAACTTATAGATAACAGACACATTAAATAGTTATTTTGAGTTTTTACAACATATTAAAACCACAAATTCGTCATATTTTATTATGATTAACTAAGAGTTCAGGGGTGAGCTGGGACGGCCCAGTATTTTACGGTAATAAATGGCACAAAACCATTTTACAAAGGTATCAATTTAGTATAAGTAGGAGGGCTTAGGTTTCTTCAATCTATTAACCGGAGAAAAATGACTCGCAAAGAAGTGTGCATTTATGTTTTTGAAAAAAATCCATTTTAAATTTCATTTTTTATTTATTTATTTATTTTTTTTTTTTTACTGAAATAGATCCACGAAAGATATAAAAAAATATATAGGACAAAAAAATGTGTAGAAAACAATTGTTTTTGAGTATTATACAATTTTAAATATTTAATTTTTTTTGTTTTCTCTCATAAAGTCAATATTAAACATTTTAATTCGTTATGATGTTGTAATCAAGTGAATTCAAACGGTATTGATGTAGACTCTAAATACGAATCATGTGATATTATGATATTTTTTGATACCTACTGTCCAGCATTATATTTTGTAGCAATATATAGTTCAACGATTTCAAACAAACTCATTCGTGTGTAAAATATTAAATTTGTATTTTGTTATTCATACCCTGCATTTGCATATCAGATTCGTATAGTTTTTTCTCAATACCGTCATCAGCCTAGGTGTGTGTGTGTGTGTGTGTATAAAGTGCCTATTTGATTCTATAAACGCACACGTGCACATACGCACGCACCTCTGTCGCAACAACACTCGAATACCAATCACGGTATGAGATTGTTTCTCCTGCGCGGCCTTTACAAGGACCACAACGTACGACGTATAACTGTTTTTACGATCAGTACGTGATTTCTTTGTTTTTCACTCTGTTTTGCATATAACAATAAAATCCTGTACGCACGTTATTACACGTACAAATTATTTTTTTAAATGAAACACCAATTCCATGCGACACATTTCGATTGATTTTGCCCTTTAGATTTTTCAACTCAATCACGTCACTGACCAAGCCAACTTTTTACCGATTGCCTTCGTTTATACAATTATGATAACAGTATACACTTATTACACTTGCAACACGTTTTCACAACGTCCTTATGTTATATTTCCTGCAATATAAATCATTGCCATTACGATCCATGGTAGGTAGTTGTATACTGTGTACTGTTTAAGAAAATAATTATTCATTTGTTCTTTTTTCTTGCCATTTGGATTTCGGTACACGAGAACAAAATTCTCTAGACTATGACTAATTTTAAATTACGTACTTATGGTAATATTTTGTAGCTGAACTGTTTAAAAAAAAATAAAAAATAAAAGCAGTACGTTTTTTTTTCGTATAGTAAATTTATTCACGGATAAAAAAAAAACACACACGTCTGAAACCATGTATAATATATACCTGATAGTGGGCATGCCCTGTCTTATTCTCCTACTTGAGAAAAAATCTAGATGGTTTTATCAGCAGTTGAAATCAAACCTGAAAACATATATACAATGTTTTATAACGTACCTACATACACTTTACAAAAAATGTATTAATTTTGATATTAACTATCGACAAAAAAAAAATCCATCAGTGCATTTTGTGCGGGTTGACTTCATCAACAATAAAACAATAATAAGAACTAAGAAAATAATACCGATCGAAAAGTTATTCCAACTATGTATTTCGTCATTTCGATCAAGCATTTCGTTATGAAAATCAATAATTTATTTTCAAATATCACTGCATTGTAATTAAGCAAGTAATAAAGCAAAATAAAAAATTAATTTTTTATCTCCGTTAAGTTTACTAAATAAGTCGATTGAATTGAATGCCTTTTTTTTGTAAATATCAAACCACAAATATACAACATTCAAGATTACCGGTATGGTTTCAATAGCTTTAAAACTTTATAATTTGAAAGTACTGATATTAATGTAGATCTTTTGTTTTCTAACTCCCGTTTCGATCAAATGAATTGATTTTATTAACTTTTAAATATTTTATTAATATCTGCTTATATTAATATAAGCAGTATATATGATACTTTATTCATAATTCAAATATGTTAATACAATTATAATTTAAATTTAAATAAATTAATTCACCAACGGCAGATCAAAATAAATTGGGCCGGTTAACAAAATATTGCTAATTACGATTATGTTCATATTATTTTTATGAGTTATATAATCACTATAAAGTTTTGCAAATTTGAGCGAAAATATAATTTATACTTAGATATTGCCTATTACTTACTTTTATCTGTAAAGATAAAACGTCCATAAAAAATAATGAATAACAAAATACAAATACAAAATATAATAAAAATGTTAAACCAACATGATTTATAATGCGCTTTTAGCCAAACATGAATACCTGATTACTTAGTTATCATAAACAAATGTATTTGTTTATGGATTCAAATCCCTATTTAATCATCCTAATTATAATATTATTTGTTTATTACTCCATATTCACTGTAAATAGTAAAAACCGATTGATGTGACGTATTGAAGTAAACTAATAGGACCTATAACCTTATTGTGGATATCAGTTTCGAATAACAGCACAAATTACTATTACACGATTACGGTCATTATTTAACCTCAATTTATAATCAAAGTATATCGTATGGAATATGGATACGGAAAAGAACATTTAACTGATCAATTATTATTATTAATCTATTAAAAACATGTAGGAATACCAGATATCTTCTACAATAAAATTCATTATTCTGCAGACGTTACGTGGAATATTTCAGGATTTAATCGATCAAAAAAAATTTAACAAACATAGCTAAGCATATTTCAAAAATTTTCTTGGTAACGAAAAAAAAAAGTAAAATTTAACATTATATTCAATTTCCTATTCAATCAAACATAAATGTGTATTAAATTATAACAATGAAAAACCACGGACTAAGCGATATAATATTACATCATTGTCCGTGCGAAAAATAAATAATTATTCTACGAAAATCTGATATACGATATTATCTGACACACAATCACCTACAAGATTTGTATACTATAAAGCGATTGAATAAATTATTAATTATTATTACATAATTATTTAACATTTAAACATCGAATTTGTAGATTAATTTAACCAGTGCTCGATTGGAGGACTGAGTACTTCCAACTAAATTATCAGCTATTCTAGCGTACCTCAACTATCTCTTCAAAATGGCCACATGAGATGATATTTTATTTAAGTTGAATTTTTACAATATTATAAGAAGTTAATATTTTTATAAGAAATTAACCATTTATAAAGTAAAACTATATCTGTGGGTATACATAAGTAAGCATAGGCGTGCGCACGGGGGTGGCCGGGTGGGTCGCGGCCCCCCCCCCTGTGAACTCTGGCTTTTTCTTTAATAAATGTATATCTATACTATACAAGACAGGGAACATTTTTACATTTTACATGAATAAAGTAAAGCCAGTTTTAATCTTATAGTATAGAATTGATATCTGTGAATAAATGTAATAAAGTTATTAGTTAATTAGACTAATCAGAACTTGCATATAATATAAAAATTGAAGATGTAATTGATACATTCAAAAACCTTACTCCCGTGGACAGAAGGATGGAGTTGAAAATAGTTTAATAATATGTAAATAAGGATTTCTTAGATATAAATTGTGCAAGTTTAAATAGTATTTATTTTTATATTTGCATATTGAATTAAAGAAATAATTTATAAAATTTAAAATATTTAATTATACTAGTAGTCTTTAGTACAAGAATCTTTGGTCCACTTTTTCATGGGCCCCCCCCTGCGGACAAATTTTCCGCACTCCTATGTAAGTAAGTATTGATTTTTGATACGGTAGTAGATTATAAATTATAATAATCAAACACCAATATCGACAAATTTTGTTGATGTACACAATCGCGTACCTAATGCCATAACATAAATCGCCTGTAGTTTTTTTTATGATAGTCTTTTGGACCGATTTTAGTCTCTTTAAGCAAAAAAACATACATACTATCAGTAGGGTGGTGAAGGAGTTTTATGACGCCTGGACGTCATGATGAAAATTTTATGGGTGGTTATGTGGTTGGATTAAGATATGTAATGATTTTGGTTGAATACACATATAGCAAATTTCCAAACATATCATCGACACGAAACATGAATGCAGCGGAATACGCAATTGTCGGTAAGAATATACATAATACGACAATAAAATCAACATTCTGTATTTTTAGTTTATTATAAAATAAAAGAGGTAAAACCCTTATAGAATTTGAAAATCCCAAGTTTGAGAAATATAAGTTGGTACAAAAATCTTAAATAATTTTTAGTTTTCTTCAACATAAGTTTTTGAAAACATTTCAAGTATGGTGTGTTATGCGCAACTGGAGCCCAAATATGAAATGGTGCTGAAATTACATAAATTGCACTAACCCGTGGAGGGCTACGCCAACACTCCCTCCTCTCTAAGTACCTTACCTTAATTTAATCATTAAATGTATCATAACACACACACAAATATTTTAATTTATAAATATTAACAAGTATAAATTGTAACATACCTATTTATTTCATTATATTATTTTATTTAGGTTATACAGCACTAAGAAATATACAAATTAAAAAAAATATTAAACAATATACAACATATAATATTTATATTGGTATTATCTTGCAATTACTAGTGGAATATTTTCAAGTAATTCTGACGATGTAATTAACTATATGATAAAAATAACTATATAAAAAAAGAAAAACACTATTTTTTCACACAACTTTTCAATTATTCATTTTTTAACTAGGGGTGCTAAATTAGAGCCTGGGGGTGCAATACCATCCCCAAGCACCCCCCTAGTTTCGCCTATGATGGTGTTAATTACTGAAATATATGTTGTGCATCATGGTTTATAGATGTTCACCAGTTTAAAATACTATTTATTTATATCAGGTTATTGTTCAAATTTTGAAAGTGGTTATAAGTTATGGAATATTCGTTGGTTTATGGTAACATGTTTAAGGATGTTATAAGAGGGTGAACCAATAGCGTATCTAGGCCCTTTTATATAGAGGAGAGAAAACTTCATTAATATATTCAAATTTATGCATTTTCCTATTAAGAGATAAATAATGAAAAACAAATATTAGAAGAAAAAAGCCCCTCAATATAGGTGAGTGCCACCTTGAGGACAACCCTAGGTTGAACACGGTCATGTTCAGTTTTAATTAGGTAAGGACGCAAAATTTGTATGTGATAACAGAGTACCACTATTATTTTTTTTTCTAAGATAAGCACTGGCTTTAGTTTAATGTTTCTTTGACGTTTTACACTTAATGAATTTCGAGTTGAAAAAAATTAAGTTTTCTCAAGAAAAACAGATACAAAAAGTAAACATTCATAATTATTGAACAACAATTATATATGCTCTTTGTACATGTAATTTTATTTGCAATGTACTCCTAATAAAATTTAAATCATTATATGAATAGCAAAAAGTAAAAAAATAAATAAATTATTGTAATCGATTTAAAAAATATAAAATAAAACGATTCAATTTGGATGAGAATTCTTAAAAGAATCGAATCTACTACTTCACTCTATTATTTAGAAGCGAATTTACGCTCTTACACTAAGGTGTACTGACCGCTCAAGCGCTGGGCTGTTCTGTAATTGGAAATAACATAAATGGTTCCAAATAGTCATAATATAACGTCATGAATGCTTGATCGTATAACACGGAAAAGTGACGGGTAATTGATTTTTCCATAACACCCGTTCGCCGAAACAGCTGACATGCAATATGACGTCGGCTGTAAATAGCATATTATAAATATACTCGCCTCACGTCTCGCTCAGTTCGCAGCGCAACAGGATATACTTTCGAAGGACAAGATTCAATTCACTTGGTAAAATATCCATGATCAATCGTTAGTCTGTTTACGTTTTTTCACAAGATGCTGTCGTTTTCTTCTTTTTGAAACCCGTCTAAAAATTGATTTAGTTCAAAGTACTATCTGCCATGTGCAATATATCTAAAGGTGATTCGTGAAACCAAAAATGTACAAATAAAAAGAATCTACGAACAATAATCGAATAATGGACGGCACTGCAGCAGGCAAATAAGTATAGATACTGAACGAAGGGATTGGTTACACTTCACACGCCTCAACGAAAACCATTGTAAACAAATCTACTGGAAGAATATATTCGTTTTAGAGAACTGGTTTTGAATATGTTTAAATCCTCATGATCAAATTTGTAACCAAATCAATTGTACTATTCAGCAAATTTTAAACGATTAGAATATAACTGAGTTGATTGGTAAGGTTAAAAGTAACTACTGTTTTTTTTTTTTTTTTTAATCACAAAGAACGTAAATATATAATATGTATAATCAAGGCTGTAGCAAGGAGGGGATAGAGGTGCCTACGTGTCGGGTGAAATTCCTGAGAGGGCGCAAAAATGAAAAATTTGCAATTTAATTGTTACTTATAACATATAAGTAAAACTAATATTATGTATTTATGTATTTACTTATATAACATAAATATTATTAAGTTATACCTATGTACCTACTTAAAATTATTATGCATATTTATATTTTAATAAGTTATTGATTGAAATAAAATTAACAAACGCTTACATAATTTATAAAAAAAAATTATTTATAAAAAATATTCCGTTTTTTTTTGTGTTTTTTATAAATTAAAATACTTAAAGGTACATTTTGAAGTTTTGCCCCGGGCGCAACTTTTGGTTGCTAAGGGCCTTGTGTATAATATGAATTACCCAGCATAGCCCCGAAGACATTTTACAATTTTAGATTAAAGTGAATACTATTACAACATGAAAAATATTACAAGAGAGTGTTCACAAAAATGTCTTATACACAGCACAAACGAGTAAAACGATCCATTTCCCAAAAAACGATTTGATTGACGAGACGATAACGAGTGCGACACCCAGTGTAACGTTTCGGACATAACTTTAAGAAGAACCCCGTGATAAGACATAACCACTGATGTAATTTCGCTAAAGGTGGTCCCTGTTCTTGACTCCCTCTCCAAAATAAAATAAAAAGGTTTAAAAATGGAAAATATTTATAAATCCCGTATTTTCATTTTATTTATATAGGTTGGATAAATGTTTACAATTTTTACAAATTATTTTATCAAACACTTAATTTATTTAGCCTAAAACAAACAATATCAAAATGCATTATATAAACCGAAACAGTTATGATTATTTAAAAAGTCGTCTAATTTTAATAAACTAATCAAAATCGACAGTCGGAATTGATGGGTCGAAAGTTAACATTTTTTTCTCAATATTTTCCGTAGATTTTCACACTTTTATGAGAAATTTGTAAAGATACTTACGGCGAGTCTGTTGTGTTTGATTTCCAGTAAAACGATTTTTCAATTCCTCGATAACTGCTTTGCAAAGAAAAATGCGTACTGGTACTATGTCGATCATAAAAATTCAAAAACGTCTCATAATCTTAATGCCTATATTATCCGTTTAACGTTTATATACGAGTTTGAAAAGTTCCACATTCTTTTATAAAAATAATAGTGGTTTTTCTGAAATATTTGTCTCCTTACGTTGCGTTGGTAAAAAATGTTAATGATAATTATGGTTATTTAATAATATTTATTGCTATGTGCACGTCGGAAATCTGACTCACCAAACCGGGGAAACCAACCGAAAAATTATTCAAGATTGTAGAGACACGCGTAACATAATAAACTATTGTTGATTACGCAACTATCGGACGTAAACCGTTTTGGAAACGAAGAAAAATACATCGGAAACAAGTGAGATTAAATACGGAATTCCGTGTCGTCGTCTAATGGCGATGGACAAAAATATTACGAAATATACGTTTTCTATAAAGGTAAACCTATAATAAGTTTGTCGGCCAGACGTGACGCGATGGCGTTGTCGATATAACGCGCGCACCCGGGGTGGTATCCGTTGGAAATATTTAAAATTCTTGTCCGCAAACGTAACGTAATAATGTATAATGTTCGTCTAGACGTCCAGCAACGATTGTACGTGGCGACATCGAAGACGACGACGACGACGACTCGATCCATTAAAGGGTGTAAATATATATATCTATACGTATTCGAAGAAGAAGAAAAAAAGAAAGTATAAAATAAATAACCTAAACATTATCCATCGGCGGACACGTGCGTACGGTTTTGTGTAGAATCGAAATCAAAGTACAAATATATTAATACAACCGATGTAGGTGCACCGCACCCTTAGCGGGCGTCCGACCCATGTCGTCGCACAATAATTATTAAAACGTCCTTCGGCGGCGGAGGCACACCCTGGCGCACGCCTCGACGGCCGGCACCGACACGACGATGTCGGCCAAGTCGTCGGAAGGGCGAGTTTATATATCGTAACAGCGCGTTAGAGACGTCGGCCGCGCACACGCGTACGGTACGTATACGTCATGTAAATGCGAAGCAACAGAGTTTTATTGTAATATGCGATTGTATTGTACCAGGCCACTGTCGGGCGCGACGTCGGAACAGCTGTTGGTCGAAAACACAACCGATTCATATACGCGGCGCACATGTATGATAATATATAATAATAATAATAACGAGAAAGACGACTCGTTCGTATGGAGCACAAGCAATCGGTGGAAAAAAAACATAAAAAAAGCAGGTGATAATAAAAGGTATATATGGAGAACAAGCAGGTGTATTTTGGCGGGAATCTTGGTCTAAGGTCGCGTGTGCAGGTGGTGTGCGGGTGCGCGACGATGCCGACGGCCCCGACGAGGTCGATTATATGGTTGGGATTTTTTGGCGGGAAATCACGGTACGCGCACGTTTTGCCGTGTACGCGCGTGCACACGCACCCGGTCGGTCGGAGGAGAGCGTTTTACGGGACGGTGAAGGGCGGGGGTGGTGTAAGGACGAAAAAGGTACCTTTTATTCGTATGCATGCACGGTACGCGTGTGTGTGCGTGTGTCTTTCTGGGCTTCGAATACGCACTAACACACACGCACACACATGTCGGCCGACCAGCTGCCACCCGGCCGTCTCCGAACGAACGTGTCTCTCTGTATGTCTTGCGCACGTTAAGGCCCGCGAGGTCTTGGTCGTCGTCGTCGTCGTCGTAGTCGTCGGCACCAGGTGCACGCAACAGCTGCTTTAGTTTTTTTTCTTTCTGGCTGATGCTGTTGCTGCTGTTTCTGATGATGGGCTGCTGGCTGCTGTTTCCTCGATCCTCCTCCTCCTCCGCCGTGCGGATACCGCCGTCAATCTTACCCATTACAAATATATATATATATATATATATATATATACACGTCATAAACAACGTCCACCCCGAGAAACGGTCTCTCTTTGTACCTGACACGCGGCGCGATTCCCCGTGGCTGTCGTGTGGCCGAAAATACGGGTTTTTTTTCCGAATCATACGTACCTTTGAAAAGAGATGAAAAACACAATAATAATGATAATAATAATAATAATAATAACAATATCGTCTCGCGCATTATAATAATAATAATAATACGAAACGTACGCGCGCGCGTACACATATTTTAATATTAAAACCGGCCGCACGCACCCTTCGTAGTGTTTTATATTCGATCGATTTTATACGCGCGCGCTCGCCTGCCCAATACACCTATATGCATCCGATGTTTACATGAGGCACCTTGGATGATATTCGGAAGTTTCGGTGAAATCAAATATTCTCGCCGTGCGCCGTCCGATCGTTTCCGTTTCCGCGGCGACTGTTCGCCGCCATCGCCTAAAATAATACGTACATTGTACGTAAGGAAAAGCTGAAGCAGCACACGTCCCTCCGGTGTGTGTGTCTTTCGGTATATTTGTCGATTCCGGTCACCGTACGTCGATTAATATTTATTATTACTTCACTACATCCATTTTCGGATTACGTCGTGACGACGTCGTGTACACGCTCGAACGAACATCGGAATACGAATCGACACGTGTGCATATGTATATTATTGTCGAGCTGGTATAATGATAGCTGATATTATGTGTGTACCACCTCGTCAATCGCATGTGAATCACAATACCTAGGGTGTATAAGCTGTCCGCGACCGGAACCTGTTCGTAACGAACCGATTGTACACGCGTTTGACGTGAAATACGTACAAAGTCGATTTTTCGGATCTAAAAGAAAAGCAAGGAAAAAATCGAGGTATCGTAAGATTGATCACAAAGGACCAAAGTTAAATTTGAGTTATCGAAGATCTCCGAGACATCGAAATTCGGTTTACGGCTACTCGTCACAGCAATATATTATACGAAAAAAATATAAAAAAATACAACCGAACAATACTGCAGTGATCTCAAATATGTTTCAAAATAAAAACCATTCGAAGAACTCGATAAAAAAATAAAATCCGTATTAAACCTACTTACCCAGTTCTTTCGTGATAGACGGATTTAAAACAAGTATATACCTGGTGCAGCTTCGAATCATATACAAAAAACTCCCTATAATTATTATTATTATTATTATTTTTACGAAATTGTAGAGAGTTACCATTATAAAATATTAATCCTACCCTGTGCGCTGTACATAGGATTCGATCAATATTGAATTGTATCGTGTACATGTAGAGCATAAATTGTCTACCTATATATTTCTTATGAACTCTTCGTATTTTAGTTTATTAACTTGATTTTATGTTATATAAAATCTACTATATGAACATAATGCAGCTAAGTATTCTATAGAATAAGTTTTAATTCAAGCACAAATCTTAACTGATCTCAACTGTCATTACTTTTCTGTAATCTCTTGCGGTCATAATGGACACTAAAAACATTATAATTTCGAGTGTAACAGATACTATTTTATTTTTACCAAACCACTCTTTTTTTTAAAAAAAAAAAAGAGTTACATATAATTTTAAACAGTTATACAATGGGATATGAGTTTTGAATTTTTATAACTGGCACGTATTCCTCATATGCTTACTTTTGAATCATAATATCATCCATATATGTAATAAAAAAAGCGTATATAATTTATACTTCCTCTTTCGATGTATTTTGAAAGACCTATGTCGTTTTATAGGTTGGCTTTGCCGTTGGCCTTTACACTGTCGTAAAGCTATTAAATATATCACCTCCTTTAGTATTAATTAACCACCCGGGTATACCAAATTGTATTCTACCGAGTTACACTTAGAGAATATTGCTAGTTGCCATTAAAATGTACGATTTTTTTCTATCTATTCGTGTCGTCGAGATAACTCGTAACGTGTGCCCATAATGTTTACTGGCGAGTGCACGTGCACCTTGAGCTTAGGAATTTCATTTGTAATACAATACATTATCATCGCTTGATGCAATATATCACATTATTATGTACCAGCTGAAAAATATGTGTTATGTATATAATATATATAGGAATATAGGACGCACGTCCTGCTGGGGACGGCAGCCGAGAAGAAAGGAAACACGTGCCTGGCACACTTGCAGTATCTTTTTATATTAAAATAATACATTTTCATCCTGCAGTGTGTGTCCGCCGCGTTGGGGGTGTTGGGTAAGGGCCCGAAGGCAATGGAACGTGAACAAATATTCGGCACTCGTCAAAGGGCAGTCGGCATCGGTTTCTGGTACCTCTATATGTATTATCTGGACAGAAGCCGGCTATCGTTTAGTCAGGGTTGTATATCTTCGCCTTGCAATCATTTTGAGGTTTTTCGACGGTACTGGCACGCGCTACGAGATTTCAACGGGACAGCAACATGTTATACAATACAAATGTTTGGGTTTTAACGAAAATAATAATAATAGGTGTACATCATTCAATAATGAAACACATTTTCTAACGATAACGATCAACATTCACATGAGCCACATAAACAAATTTTATCTATTATTATTAATTATAATATTACAACCAAATTATGAACCATTTTTCTATGAATAATCAATCGATTGTTTGAAAAAAATCTTTTAATAAAATTGTGTTTTCGGTTGTTTTTTTGCTCTTGCGTCTTACTGTATTTACGTTATAAATTTTTGTGAACATGAATACTGTAATTAGCATAAATACTTAAAATAAACATACGTTATACACGTAATTGTGTTATTATACGTATAAATGTGAATCATATGATTCAAAACAACCTTCAAAATTTGTTGTATACCTCAGCTGTTCTATATCCTTCAGCTGTACGATCTTCCATTGATCAACTTCATTTTTTTGTTAATCCAATCCTTATGTATTATTATATATATATAGACTTCAAACGAAAAAAAATTAAAATAATACTTCATATTTTTTTAAATTTAAATATCTACAAAATACAATATTAATAGTTTTCACAATAGATAACGATTATTAAAATAATTGGAACTTCGATGTATAGTTAAAACGAATCAGAATTTATCTTTATTTTCAAAACCAATAAATTCATTAATATCTAAACAGATGCTGTTCAAAAGTATTTAAACTACAAGTATCTAATTAATTTTCCGTTTTAAGGTTTGCAAATATTATTATAGTAACACAAGCATACTTGATGATTTCAATTAACTATTAGAGATACATAAAATTAGATTTTAGTATGTATAAAAATTATCATCACAAATTGTATTTATATGTAGAAAATATTTATTTTTCAATACGATTTTCATCGTAAATCTCTGAATTCCGTACGAATAATAATACATCTGCCATTAACATCGGATCCGTATAAAGTGATTCGCACATATTTGAATATTTTATCCCTCGGCTGGTTATACAATCACCACTACCAACCACCTGCATTTTGTTCGAGAATCAAAGTGATGTATGAAAAACATTATAAGCCTTAGAAACTCATTCAGTTACTACTGAATCTCAACAAACAGCTATTTTTATTCCTTTACCTTGTATTGTTCTTCAAGAAAACGTTATATATTTCTATGGAAGCTGTAACATATGGTCTATTAATCAGTTGGATATATTTCATCATAGGCATAAAATATGTTACATGTATCATTTTATTAAACCAACACTATAATATTTATTGATATATTATTTATTTATCTATAAATTGCAATTATTTGTTTAATATGACAATATTTATTGCACTGATATAATGATTATTATTCTGCTGTATTCTATGGTCTATAGTTTATTTATTCGCTAATTTAACATACAATTTCAATGGCACGTTAATGACGACACGGAAATGAACAAGCAAAATTAAAGAAAACATAAAAAGAAAGTATTGAAAAATACAAATAAAACCAGTTCCGGTATAATCATCATTTATTCTAGAAATTAACTTTAAAGTTATGTTATAATCGATTATTTGGGTATTAGAAATTAAATGCTCAAAATCTTTCAAAATAAATATTATATTATATTATTTATGTAAACATTTATTTAAAAATATCAACCAAGATAAAATGTTTTATTTTATTACCATTTGGAACAACTATTGATGATTTAGATTTAACCTTCGTATTATAAGACTATATAAAAATATTAATTTTCATTTTATCATAATGTAACATTAA